GAAAAAAATAATGCAAACATTAATAACTGTAATTCAGAAAACGAGAGTGCAAATATTAATTATTCTAATTCGGATATGAGTTCCATTGAAGATGATTTTAATGAAGATGAATCATTGTCAGATGCAACTGACAATGATTTTCAGAGCTTATCATCAGAAGACGCTTTAAATACTGAAAAGTCTTTAATTGATGAATTAAGATCTTGGATAATTAAACACAAAATTAGTCAGAGTACGGTAAATAATTTATTAGGAATTTTGTTAAGAAATAATATAAGCGTTCCAGTCAATTGTAGGACATTAATGAAAACGCCACGTGATACATTCTCACTAATAATAAAAATGGATGACGGAAAATATATTCATTTGGGATTTGAAGAAGGTTTGAGATATTCGATAAAAAAACACTTTCAACCTTTATGTCCAGCAGAATTAAAAATAAATATAAATATCGATGGCCTACCTATTTCAAAAAGTTCTGGTAGTCAATTTTGGCCAATTTTAGGTGCTATAGTTGCAGATTTTTATACTGAACCATTTGTTATTGGCATTTATCATGGTAATGCAAAACCAAAAAATGTTGATGTTTTTCTAAATCCATTTGTAAAAGAAGTAAAACCCATTCTTGATAATGGGTTGAATATTGATGAAAAGATTCTTCGTATTACATTAAATGCTATTATATGCGATGCTCCAGCTAAATCGTTTATTTGTGAAATTAAAGGTCACACAGGTTATTTTAGTTGCACAAAGTGTATACAAGAAGGTGAATTTATCAACAACAAAGTCGTATTTTTAGAACAAATTTCAACCTTGAGGACGGATCATTCTTTTAAAACTAGACAGCATGAAGAACATCATATTGAAAAGTATTTAAGTCAAGCAACTTCTTTAGAAACATTAAACATTGGAATGGTTTCAGCCGTGCCATTAGATTGCATGCACCTAATTTTTCTTGGTGTTAATAAAACAATGCTTCGATTTCGGATTAAAGGTGCAAAAAATACACGATTGACTTCTGTTTTATTAGATAAAGCTCAACAACGTAATAATAAATTGAAAATGTGCATACCCATTGAATTTGCACGTCGTCCAAGAGATTTGTTTGATATAGATCGGTGGAAAGCGACTGTTCGAGATTCATTTCTGAATCTCGGTCAGTTCGTGACCGGCCGCGGCGTGATGGCAGCATCAGCCGGGTCAGATCGTGCAGCGCCACAGGAGCGCTGCGCGCGCATGCTCGATCGCGACGCGAGACGACCGCGCTTCTTCACGCTCGTTACCGGCGCTTTTGGCTCATGGCTACCGTACATAGTACACGCGTCGTGTAGTGAAAAAGACTCTCAAGTGCTATAGTGGACTTTTCTCATAAAGGAATAGATTCAGTGCGGACACGTAGTGAACTCAGCAGTTCGACTCAACCAGGACAGCTTGGGATACAGCATCACCGGCGGCTCAAGCTCACCACGCATCGCACGCCGGCGTTGCGTGGACACGGCCCACGGGCATCCACATTCACGAGGCCGGCTATCGATTAATATAATCGACCCGTGCAAGTGACTAAGAGACAGATCATCCCCGTTAAATCATAGACTGCTCAAACTGTAAGCTTTTATATTTATTAAACAGACCACGGTATTTTACTCAACACGAACTGAGTTACGATCACGTGATTTGCCACCCCTTAACGCATGCATCCGTTCCCCGAGTCTCTCGCCGCAAAGTGCTCTCAGCCCTGCTTCCAACCGCAGCGGTCCAGCGAGCTCTCCCAAAAGAGAATCGCGAACAGCGACCGAACATAAGCTTTTTGTACTATATACGGGAATAATTATAATGAAAAAAGTACTACCTAAAAAACTATATATACACTTCATCTGTCTGTGTGTTGCTGTAAGAATTGTATCGGATAAACAATATAAGCATCTGATTGATTATGCACAATCTGTTATTGCCCACACAGCAAAATTGATCCCGGGATCATCTTGGTATTGTCTAATATCTGTCCCGGCAGGATAAAACATCTTATGGTTGTCCGTAGGAGGTATCATTGATACCTTGTCCTACTCAAGATCAAGGTTTGAGGATATCCCGTCATTACACTGCATAGATGAGCAAAGGGCACAGATCTATGGGACATCCATAGGAGCTATCAGTAAGACTTTGTCCTACTCACAATCATTATAGGACGGCTTAGGAATATCCCGTTATAACAATACATAGATGAGCAAAGGGTATACAGGGTGTACGAAAAAGGTCGGAACCTTTGAATATTTCGGAAAATATAAGGGTTTTTCAAAAATGTGTCGAACATAACTTTTATGGTTTTGAAAGGGCTATAAGATGGTACCATTGGTTTGACCTTGGATAGTCATTTGAAGGTCACCTTCAATTTTTTAAATGGAATCGCCTATTGGTTATTATATTATCTTATTCTACTAATTAATATGAACAACTTTTGTCCGAAACATTTTTTTTTATTTGCCTAATACTTTTTCAAATATTCAAGAGAAAATTTATAACTGTTTCAATGTTTAGCTTAATTATGATATCTCGATAACTGTTTGAGGGAAAAGTAGTACACGACTTTTTTACTTGATTTAAACTCAGGAATATACTGTTGCAACAGTGTTCCAATTATTGAAATTTTTTGTGTATTGTAACATACACAAAATTTACATACACAAAAATTTGCAATAATTAGAACACTATTGCAACAGCATGTTCCTGAGTCCAAATCAAGTAAAAAATCCTGTGCTACTTTTCCCTCCGACAAATAGTTATCGAGATATCATAAGCTAAACATTGAAACAGTTATAAATTTTCTCTTGAATATTTCAAAAAGTATTAGGCAAATAAAAAATGTTTCGGACAAAAGTTGTTCATATTAATTAGTAGAATAAAATAGTATAATATAATAAACAATAGGCGATTCCATTAAAAAAATTGAAGGTGACCTTTACGTGACCTTCAAATGACTATCCAAGGTCAAACCAATGGTACCATCTCATAGCCCTTTCGAAACCATAAAACTTATGTCCTACACATTTTTTAAAAAACCTTATATTTTCCGAAATATTCAAGGGTTCCGACCTTTTTCGTACACCCTGTATATCTATGGGACATCCATAGGAGCTATCAGTAAGACTTTGTCCTACTCACAATCAATATAGGACGGCTTAGGGATATCGACTATCGTTTCTGTTCTTCTTTTTTTTCGTTTAATCGATAATTGATTAGTTACACTTATTACGCTTGACAACTCTTCCTTCTTCGTGCGAGTCTTCTTCGACTGTGAACTGTAGACGATTTAATTTCCATCTTCACAGATAGATAATTGTGATATTGTGATATTGTTTATACTGAACTACGTGGAAGATTTCCATTCGCCCTGCTGACGTCACATAAGAGCACGTAACCAGACTGAATCGAGGTATGTAATTATAGAAAACTTTATTTTGTTTTCACAATGTTATCTCTTATTCCATGTGCATCCGAAAGATGTTCACAAGACATCCTGGAGAGATATACATATAATATATGGGCTATACAAATAGCATGCATACACTCGTTCGGAGAACGTTTTGAGAATTTTTATAGTTAACTGTATAATAAAATATTAAATAATTAAATAATTAATTACTATTAAATAATTCTTATGCTTCACTCATTAAAAAATTACGAAGGGCTAAATAGCTTACTCAAACTACCTTTTTTTCTGTTAACGCAGGAGAATCCTTTATGGATACCCGGGACCCCCCTGGGAGGGGGTTTTGTTGACTGAACCCGGGTTATGTGGGACTGCCCCTCTATTTAACGAGGTGCGCGCCAAGATGTTGTTTGGCTCGCGGGCTTACCAACTAAACTCCTGCGGTGGCCTGCGCGGTGCTTTGACTTTTGGGGGGACGACCGGGTATTGACGTAGTCATTCCTTCCGGTCCGCCCCCCGCACCGGCCCGCCGCACAGTGGGGCAAAGTAGCACGTTTTCGTTCAAAACAACTTTTAGCCAAAAGTATACAACCGATTGTAATGATTTTGGTCTCAAATTAAAGCTTATGAAATTCCTCAGAGATCTGTCATGGCCGATTTTTGATAAACGTTTTTCCTTTTTTTATTTACGTGTAAATATGAGAAAATGGAAATGTTCGTTGTTTTAAGATCGCGATATTCATTTAAACTGTGAAAAATCACACGGAATTTTAAACAATTTGCTACAAATTGATATTTGACTTAAATTAAATTTACAAAAAGAAGTTTTATATACAGGGTGTCCCAGACCACCCGTATCAGCCAAATATCTCGAAATCCGAGAACGGCAAACAAAAACCTTTCAGACAAAAGTTGTTTGGTTTGAAAGGGGCCATAAGATGGTACCATAGGTTTGACCTTGAAGAATTATTTGAAAGTCACATAAAGGTCACACCATTTTTTTTAAATGGCATCGCCTATTTTTTATTACATATTCTTGTAGCTGACCTCGAGGGCTTTCCAAAACGCTTTAATAAAGTATTTTTGTATTAAGAACTTTTTGAGTTATTAAGGTATGAAAGTTCCAATATTTTGACGTAAATTACAAAATATCTTGTAAAATCTTCATTTTTTAATCATTTTACCTTAATACTTTTTTAAACAGAATGATGATACAAATCAACTGGTGTAAAGAAAACAATTTTGTAACAAGCAATAAAACAAATTTTTTTTATTGATTTGTTCAGCCAGTTGATTTGTATCATTATTCTGTTCAAAAAAGTATTGAGGTAAGATGATAAAAAAATGAATATTTTACAAGATATTTTGTAATTTATGTCAAAATATTGGAACTGTCAAACCTTAATAACTCAAAAAGCTCTTAATACAAAAATACTTTATTAAAACGTTTTGGAAAGCTCTCGAGGTCAGCTACAAGAATATGTAATAAAAAATAGGGGATGCCATTAAAAAAAATTGGTTTGACCTTTATGTGACTTTCAAATAATTCTTCAAGGTCAAACCAATGGTACTATCTTATGGCCCCCTTCAAACCAAACAACTTTTGTCTGAAACGTTTTTGTCTGCCGTTCTCGGATTTCGAGATATTTGGCTGATACGGGTGGTCTGGGACACCCTGTATATAAAACTTCTTTTTGTAAATTTAATTTAAGTCAAATATCAATTTATTGCAAATTGTTTAAAATTCCGTGTGATTTTACAAAGTTTAAATGAATATCGCGATCTTAAAACAACGAACATTTCCATTTTCTCATATTTACACGTAAATAAAAAAAAAGGAAAAACGTTTATGAAAAATCGGCCATGACAGATCTCTGAGGAATTTCATAAGCTTTAATTTAAGACCAAAATAATTACAATAGGTTGTATACTTTTGGCTAAAAGTTGTTTTGAACGAAAACGTGCTACTTTGCCCCACTGTGCGCCGTTTTGGTCTGGCGGGCCTTCGCGCGCCCTCCCCCCGTTGTTGTTGGGGGGGGCTCCCCGTAGGGGAGTCCTCTACTCTATTGGACGGGAGAGGCGGCCACCACCTCTCCCGTCCGCCTCCGAAGGAGGCCGGGCCGGACGGGATACAGATCCTCAAGTAAGAGATGCGCAAACTTCGGTCGTTTGCAAGAATATGGCGGCCAATATGGTGGCCTGCGCGCCAACGCGCCTGCGCGCTAACAAGCCGCGCGCTAGCGAGCCGCGCGAACGAAAATAATCATATAATAACAAAGGAGAAAGACAAGGAGAATGAAACATGTGAGAATTGAAAATATTTTAACATAGTCATATTTATTAATCTTAGTAAGGCTCCAATAAAAGCTATATTAAATTTAGTCTTCAGAACGATACATTTAGATGAAATCGATTTCATCTAAATGTATCGTTCTGGGGCTCGATTCTTGAAACGAGGACCCTAGATGTCGCATGCGATATCGCACACGTTGTCAGAAATGGTATTCTCGAATGTGTGAGATACATCGTATGCGAGAAAATATCGAACAACTTATATCGAGTGCGTACAAGGTATGCGATACGCAAGTCGTATACGACAAATATAGTAACAAAACAAGTTTCAACAAAAGTGAAGTGAGGTTATCGAAAGTGAGTGAGTGAAATAAATTTTATGTTAGCAATGGATATGGCATGTCGAAATGCTGTTCAGCTTCATATAATCGAACAATTAGAAAATGCCAATTTTTATTATAATGAAAAACCACGTTTTCACGTAAGGGATGATGCATTTCTATTATCGGAATCTCAGTTCGTCAAGCTTTTTCGATTGAAAAAAGAAACAGCAAACAGGCTTATTAATATTGTAAAAGAGAATATTGAAGAACCGTTACGACCTACGGCTTTGGATGCAACTACACAAGTAAGTTTGGATAATACATGCAGAATATATATAATATAACTAGAGTATATGTTAATTTATTCATAAAACTCTTCTAGGTTTTAGCAGCATTATGCTTTTACGCATCAGGAAGTTATCAAAATTGCATAGGACAAAACATTCATACGGCTATTAGTCAACCTTCGATTAGCAGATGTATTCGTAATGTGACTAGTATTCTTAATTTACAACCAATATTCAATAGTTGGGTGCGCTTTCCTAACAACCTTCAGGAGTTGCAAGAACTACGTAACAAGTGAGGAAGGATATAATCTATTTTTAAAAAGTTATATATCTTGTGAACACAAGTATTATATCACATTATATGTATATTCATATGTATGTATATAGATTTTGGATAAATAACAGTTTTCCGGGGGCAATTGGTTGTATAGACTGTACTCATATAGCAATTTTTCCATCGTCGAAAAAAGCCGAAAATCATCCTGAACATATTTATATAAATAGAAAAGGATATCATTCTATCAATGTACAATT